TGTCTATTTCTCAAAAGTTACTTTTATAAACTTTTGGAGGAGGGGTCTTAAATCATGGCTGTACTTTGATATAGAAAGCATAATAAAGTAGTCTGATAAACACCAGCCCCTTGCTCTATGCTTTGCTTTGTACAGAGGGTCTAGACCAGGGGTCTCCAACCTTTTTCTCCTTAAGAGCTACTTTCACAAAACGAAATTGTCCAAGAGCTACTTTTTGCAACATTTAATTTAATCCTCAAACCATTGGAATAAGTCTGTTTTGCACAAAAAAAACATTGTCTTCAACTCACATGAAACCACCACAAAGAACACGACAGTGGTTTTTTTATGTTTATCCATTCATGTTAAATTGTATTTCACACTACGAACTTGGGGTTTGACTGCAACAAATTTGTGCCCAATTAGCGACAGGTGACGGGTCTCAGATTTTTTTTCCACATTGTAGACTTCAGCAGGAAGAAACCCTGTGTAGTGACATACAGTATACCACAGCAAGAGGGGTTTCCCATGAGTTTGGCACAGCGTATCAAGGGGCTATGAAAGGTCTGTGCAAAAACGAACGCCGAACAACCACATGATGGCGGGTCATCTGGCGATCAACCATGCTGAGCCCTAAACTTTTTGATTGACAACTAAGGGGAAGGGACATCTATAGATACATTGGAATTAAATGAAAGTTTGGCCAGTGACAAATAAAATTTTGCTTCTCCTAATTTTTCATAAGAACTGAAAAGCTACTTTAAATGTTCTCAGGAGCTACCGGTAGCTCACAGGCTACTGATTGGAGACCCCTGGTCTAGACCCTCAGCTAATAAGAAACTATTGCTTGCTGGACGCATGGACTCTGTTGAAATTTCAAAAGATTGGATCTGATTTTAACCAGTCGCTAACGTTTAGCCGCGACGTATGCTGTGCGCCAGCTTGTCTGTGAAGCAAGCCAAGCTAAGAAGCTATGCTAAGAAGCTAACCGAAAACTTCTTCTGGGAAGAGAGATGTACAGAGTTGAACGAGATGGCTCTAAATGAGTGCTGCAGGCTTTGTGACACAAATTTAATTAATTTAATTTAATTTGGTAGCCTTGTCACTTCCTCGCTGTCATTGCTAAACTACAGGTAGACTAAAACAGCGCAGAAAATCCACATCATTCACAACTCCTACTTCTGCTCACTGATTGGCCCAGCTGAAATTCTACCAGAGAAATCCATGTCAATGGGAGAAAGCCCAGACAGAAAAGGAAAATTAAAACTGAGTGGAATAGGAAGGCAATGACCAGGCTAATAATATAGCATTTCTAATGCAATAAAATGTATAATAATTATATTCCAGGGGACTTGTAACTTCATGCTCAATGTGTGATCCCGTGGTAAGATGCTACAAAGTTTGTGTTACCAGTCCATCAAATGTCCTTCCAATAGTTTGCTTTTAGACACACTTTGCTCTGTGAACCATGTATGTTGTTTTAATTTTTATTTTTTTTGTGAATGTGGGTAAACAGCAGGGGTTGGGTGAGGGTTGAGGCCTTGCTTTTCCATTGCCACAGCTTCTGTTTCCTTCCCACTGCACTTTGCATTCCTAAACATCTAACTCACCAGTTTGTGTGTGCCTCATAATGCTGCGGCGCACGTATGCAAACTGTAACCACACGGCATAACTCTTCCAGAAACTGGTCTTTCATGAGTCGGTGACCTGCAGATGCTTTCCCCATTTTGTCAACATTCCACCAAACATCCGGGAAAAAGGCATCTAACTGGCAAAGCACAGATACAAGGCCTTTAAGCTGTTTTCATGTGGTTATTAATGGCTTGTCAGACCATCTGTACATCTCTTGGGTAAAGTCAGGGTAAAGTCAACAACTGAGGGTCATTCATTAATCTGCTCTGCCTGGACATTTGAAGGAAAGCCAAACCAAAAAGCAGCAGGATAGCATCTGCAACAAAGTTGGGGTTAGGAAAAAATTTCTACTTTCCTTTTGGCATCTTACTTTTTTAATCAAAAYTCACCCTTCTCTTTCACAGGATCAATGTCCCGTTTAACAATTTTTTTTAAAATTTAATAAAGAAGTGATATGTGGTTTTTAAAAACATGCTCATGAGCAAAAATAAGAGAACCTAAATTATTCTGTGTATTTCAATCAGTAATCAGTGCCAGCTTATTTTAATTATTTTTCTTTTAAAAAGTATATTTTAATGCCTATTGCTGCTTGCATCAATATTCAAGACCGAGCAGAAAAATAACCACAACCTCAACAGCATGACTAAGTTTCAGTAGCAGCTGCTGCTCTGGATTTTTCTTTGGAAACCGAACTAACTTGGAATTGAGTCGGTGTTCAAAAGATTTTATGAGAACTTCTCATTCATGTTGACTTAAAACAAGAGAGTCACAACCTGCCAACAGGAATAGTGTCAAAACACCAAACAACTTCAAATAAAAGAACAGTGGTGAGTACTGKTGCAGTGCCTGAATATTCAATTTAAGCGTTTTCTCTCTAGTTGTCAGTTTATAACACTGGGTAAACTGTTTAGTTTAGGAGGGATGGATGAATCATAAGTTAAAAACCACGAGGACAAAAACATGAAAATGRTCTGGTACTGGATTTAAAAAGTGAGCAGAAAAGCAGCCAAGGTCCAAACAAAAGCTCTGAATGTACTTCAGAAATCTGAAGAAACAAGACATACCACCCTCGCTTTGCAGACCTCAAAYCTCCTCCTAGACTTCATAAGTCATGCTGACTCGCCCTCCTGCTCTGTCCTGCACTAGGCTTTCTCACATATCTGCRTTGATGGGAAATGTCTTTAATGATGCCTTAAGACTGCCCCTGTAGCATTCCAGGGGTGTCAAACTCATTTTCACCGAGGGTCACATGAGCCTTWTGGTGGCCCTCGTAGGGCCAKTTGTGTTTAACTTCAACATTTCACGTTTAACTTCAACYGWACAGGAAACGTCATGTTCCTTATCTCTATGACTGAGCACAGATWGCAGACAATAACTGAGCTCTACGTGGTATTACCTGCAWAKAAACAATGTTTTAACACATTCTCTTGCACTGAAAAGTACTATGTATGCAACTGATTAAATAAGAAAAWAATAATAATACTAAAAGYAAGAGTAAGAGAGTTTTAYTYGAGTTGTGGTGAGTAGTTGCCATCTTGAMCTSTGAACTCTCTCACTTTCTGACAGAGAATTCTCACAGGAAGGGTGCGCCAGTTTAAATTTACGGGAAATTCCCACTTCCCAGTACAACTGGGCTGCAGATCAACCTGCATTATRTGAGATGTAGYTTATAGTCAATGCTTGCTTTAAAGCAGAATGTGTTTATTTTAAGACATTAATATATCTTTGAAGCACTTGCGGGCCACATAAAATGCTGTGGCCAGCCACATTTGGCCTGCGGGCCTTGAGTTTGACACATGTGCTTTAGACAGACCTCCAGTAGATATTTTGCCTGATGTCAGTTCTCCATACAACAGTTGTTTAGGGCAGTGTTTCCCAAAGTTGGGGYCGGGACCCAAAGTGGGGTCCCGAAACATCAAGGTGGGGTCCTGAAAAGATTTTCTGAATTAATTACATTTTTATCTTAGTTGTTACAAAGGAGTGAGGTTAGTGTATTTAAAATGGATAAATGTGGTATAAAAAATACTGTTACTATGCCCATGTTTTGTTGACCTGATACAAATGTTTATCCTCCAAAAATAGTTGTGGGCACAGGTCTCTGCTACTGTTATTTTGTGGGTCAAAAGCTGAAAAGTTTGGGAACCACTGCACTTTGGTTCCCAAAGTTGGGCTTGGGACCCAATTATGAGTCATGAAGCACCTTGGATAATCTCCAGAAATCAATTTAAAGGGTAATAAAATAATTGCTGATGTAATATTTTCCCCACAACATTACAAAAACACAAAATAAGTATAAATAAGTATTTATATTTGTGTACTAGCTGTTTAGATTGTCAAAAAGCCTGTGTTTTTAGGGTTATTAATGAAGTTTGTGTACTCAGACCAGTAATATTTGGGGTCACAAGTTTTTGCCATGGATATTTTGTGGGTCAGAAGATAAAAAGTTTGGGAACCACTGGTTTAGGGAGTCTTGAATCAGACATGCAGCAAACATGACCAGCCCTGGGATCATTGCAAGGCTTTATGGATTGATGGGAGGTTTTCATGCTTAGAGCTTCAGTGTCTGGAACTTTATCAGGCATGTTAAGTTATATATAGTCCTTACATATAAGGAATCCACCATAGTTCTTACATCTTAATCCACCCTGACATGAACCAATTAGACATGCATAGCTTACAAAAGACTCTGGTTTCCTCTTTGTTTGTTTTTTTAAAGCTTGCCAAAAAGTTGATAAAAGCAGAAAAGGGATGTAATAGATCCCCTCTTATATTATTCTTTGGCACCACTGAGAAAAGTCAGTCATATCTCACTCTATGAAGTACCACAGGGACCCAAATGTTCTTTATTTTGTACATGAAAAACAATGACTTCACCAGAGCACAGATATAAAASGGGTTCAAAGAGGTGCCAGTAAAAACAGGCCGAGTTTAACCCAATTTAGTCAAATATTTTATAAGGGAAGTTCTTTTAAAAAGGAATAGAAAACATGAAGCTGATAGATCAACTGCTTTGGGTTCGTCACAAACTGATGAAGCAACCTGTGGTGTAAAAGACCAAACCACGTGTTTGAACAAGTTCAGTTTATACAATTAGATGACGCACTGAGACTCTCCCTCTGACTTTGACAAAGAGACATGTTTCATGTGACGCATCTCTGTGGCTCCAACACTTCAGCATCTTGACTCCCGCTGTGAGCTCTCTCATGACAGATTCAACAGAAGCCAGTTTGACAGAAGATCCCGCCTCAGCAGCTGGGAGGAGAGAGGAGGAGGAGGAAGAGGAGGAGGAGGAGGGAAGGGAGCAGGCAGGACTGAGGAGTTTGCTGCTCACAAAAGACTGAAAACATTCAGGACGGAACTCACTGTGGCTTTTTAGAGGATGAAACTAAGCCGAGAGACGTTCCTAAACGAGCAAGGACAAAGAAAGGACTTTTGACTCATTTTCTGTGTTTTTCTACTCATTTTGGAAAATATACATTTTTGCCTGAGAAGAAGAAAAAATCATCCAAATCTCATCACTCCACCGGGATGTTCTGAAGGATAACTTGAAAAGGTATGACTACTCTGAAAAATAAAGGGACTAAAGAATGATGTACAAATACTTTGGTAGTGTGGTACTTTAGTTTGCTCTTCTAGTTTCCAAACAGAACAGGGAAATAAAAACCTGCGTATAGAGAGTTGTTTGGATTAAAAACAGAATGTGGGGGAAAGTATAGCATTTGAAAGACTTTATGAAACAAAAGTTCTATAGAAGCTGATAAAAGTTGAACTATTGAGAATTACTCAGAAAATAACTGGTAATTGGTTGATTGATGATTACAAATAAGCATTTTTAAACTAAAGTCAGCTTTTCTAAATGAAAAAGTAAAGATGCCTTTAAAAGATTTTTTTCAATCCATTCAATATATTTTGTTATTTTGGACATATTGTCTGAGATATTTAGCCTCCTTCAATTACCAGACTTTCCTCAATTAGCTGCTTTTTTTTTCTTCTTTGCTTCAAATCTAAGCTTGGTCCAGACTGGTCCACAGAGGTTTCCAGGTGTTCTCAGTTGTTGCTACTAAACTCGGCATTTTTTAAAATCTCATCTTAAAATGTAATTGTTTCCAAAAGCCTTTGATTCAGTAAAATTCCTTTCTATGGTTTGTTTTTATTGTTCTTATGATCTTGTATTCCATTTTGACCTTTTATTTGAAGCACTTTGACCAACAACAAATAAAGTTGAGAACTTATAGGAACCTAAACCAGCTAACGGTACTGTGTGGTTTTGTCAGCAGGTCCATGAGAGGATGGCTGCTGTRCCTCTGCCTGGCTGAGCAGCTGCACTCCTCAGTTCTGTGACGCCCTCTGCTGTGTGGCCGAGGAAAGGTCGGGGTGGGCCAAGGCCAGGCAGGCAGCATGGAGAACATCCTGGAGGCCGGGATGAACGAGGTCATCGTCAGGCACTACAACCACTCTGGAAAGTGGGACCGCCCTCGCAGCGGCGGGGCCTGCAAGATGGCCCTGCTGCTCCTCATCTGCGTGCTGATCGTCCTGGAGAACATCACCGTTCTGCTGGCTCTGTGGAGGAACAAGCGCTTCCACAGCCGCATGTACTTTCTCATCGGGAACCTGGCGCTGTCGGACCTCCTGACTGGCGTGGCTTACGTGGTCAACATCTTCACCTCGGGACGCAACACCTTCTTCCTGACGCCGATGCAGTGGCTGGCCAGAGAGGGGAGCGTGTTCATGGCCCTCAGCGCCTCCATCTTCAGCCTCCTGGCCATCGGCATCGAGAGGCACATGACGATGGTGCGCCTGCGTCCCTGCGAGACGGCCGGTCGAGGTCGGCTTCTCGCCCTGCTGGCGGCCTGCTGGTTTGTRTCGGTGATGCTCAGCGCCCTGCCCAGCCTCGGCTGGAACTGCCTGAATAATCTGAACTCCTGCTCCACGGTGCTGCCGCTTTATGCCAAAAGTTACGTCGCCTTCTGCATCAGTGTTTTCAGTGCCCTGCTGGTCGCCATCGTCATCCTGTACATCAGGATCTACCGTCTGGTGACCTCGAGTGGCCGCAGGGTGAGCAGCAGGCCCTCGGAGCGCTCGCTGGCCCTGCTCCGGACGGTGGTGATTGTTCTTGGGGTGTTTGTCGTGTGCTGGTCCCCCCTGTTCCTCCTGCTCCTGATGGATGTTGGCTGCAGCCCCGGCAGGTGCCCGGTCCTCTACCAGGTGGACTTGTTCATTGCCCTGGCAGTCCTGAACTCTGCCCTCAACCCTCTGATATACACCCTGTCCAGCAGAGAGATGAGGAATGCCTTCTTCCGGTTGCTGTGCTCCTGTCAGACGGGCACGGACAGCTCCGGGGCGGTTGCAGGGGGAAACCCCCAACTGGGCACAGTCATCCCCACCGTGGAGAACAGCAAGACCAGTTTGGGCGGAGGCGGAGAGAGCGGTCTGGTTAAATCCACGMTGAAGCTTCCCCCGGCTGTGAACTCTGACCCCTCTGCCACGGCCGTGCCTCACCCCTCTGGGCCTGCGGATCTGCTCTCAGCGGTGCTGGTGAAGGCGGGGACTCTGCCACAACTCAGCAAGTTCTGAGTGGAAGCAACTGAACCAAACCAGACACATTATCCTACTATCAGCCACTTTGTTTTTGTTTGTGCACTACAAATACCCCACATAGCACACAGGTGTGGGCCAGGTCTAGAGTCAAACTGGCCCTGCTGGCAAGGAAAGCAGTTTGACAATCGGATGTGGGCCAGGTCTGGCAATGACGGCGCTGTTTTACGATGGCATGCCACAACTGGCCCGGTTGTGGTTCGRTTTGTGTGGTGTTGGCCCATGCACGGACCACCTCTGACAAACTGCATCTGGGCCACCAAAGGATTGTCATTCTTTACGCTATCTGGGCTGTGTTACTGCTCAGGTATGGAAATGTGGGCCAGAACTGGGYCAGACCCATTTTGCTATGTGGGATCGCATAGAGAACTAATTTGGAACCAAACCAGTTCAGATTTTAGATCTGAGGCTACTCGATCCCCTAAAAGCCACTAATCAGCTTGATCTTTARGAGAAGTTTCAACACTACAGTCAAGTGAAATGTGCGCCACAACCCCAGGTTTGAGTTGGGATGTTCAGAAAGTTGGGATGCTATTATATAGTTTTCAAATATCTCAAAGTTGACTTTAAAATTTTATTTACAATGGAACATGTAGTGTTAAACATATGAAATGCTGAAACTAAGAAATTGTTTTGGCAGCAACACTTCCCAAGACAGATGAACTGTGTTTACATGGTGTTGATAACATAATCAGATTTGTTCATATGCAGTGAGGGTGGCACGGTGGTTCAGTTGGTAGAGCTGTTGCCTCTCAAAAAGGTCACCGGATTGAATCCCGGCCGGGTACCTTCCAGGGCAGAGTGGGTTTCCTCCCACAGACCAAAAACATGACTATTAGACTAACTGATAACTCTAAATTGTCCCTAGGTGTGCGTAAAGAGTGGTTGGTTGTCTCTGTGTGTTCCTGTGATGAACTTGCAACCTGTCCAGGGTGTACCCTGCCCCTCATACAGTGACTGCTGGATATCAATACTAGAGACCCCCATGACCCTGAAAGGAAGAAGCTGATGAAAAGATAATGGATGGATGCCATGCCAGCTAAAGGTCTAAAATTCACAGATATCAAATTTCAATCTTGATCTTTTGGACACAGAAATGTCACCCAATAATCAAAATCTTTCAATAATATTGTGACAATTGACACTTTTCTACTGCTCATCTTTATGTCTGAGAGATTCAACCTCTGTAAAATGCTTCTTTTATTCCCAGTCCTCTATAGACATRGCTCCCACATTTTTTAGCTTTTACCCCCAAAATAACAGTATCAGAGACCTGTGCCCCCAAACACTGCAAATAAGCAGGTCAAATAAACATGGGTAACATTTCATTTAGCTAATTTCATCCGTTTTACAGTACACTAACTATGATTCTTTGTAACAGCTGAGGCAAAAAAAAATGTTAGCTGTCATTTTTTAATTTTGAAAGTCCTTTCAAGACCCAACTTTGATGTTTCAGAACCCACAGTGGGGTCTCAGTCCCAACATTGGGAACCACTGCTCTCTTATCTTTTTCCAATTCATCTAAATTGTTGCTAAATACCGTTTTTATACATCTTACTGTTTCAGTCTTTTGTTGTCCCAGTTCCTGTGTTTTTGAGATGTGTTGTTGCCAAAAAATGCAAAATTACCTCATTCAACAAAAAGTTAAATGTTCTGTTTTTCAACATTTGATATGCTCACTGTGTTCCATTGTAAATAATTACATTAGTATAATACTTTATTCACATTTCACACACTATCCCAACTTTTGGGTCTAAAATTTCAGAACAAATAGATCAGAACTGTGATCACCCATAAAAGGTTGAAATATTCCTTCACACAGCCAGTGTTTRTCAAACGAGCCCAAACGACACTAGAGTGTAATAAATTCTCTCCAGTATTTTGTGTATGTGTGTGTCAACATATTTATTTGTTTATTATTTGACTATATGAAACACAGAATCATATTGTGGCACTTTTTGCATGTGTATTTGCAGATATTCTTAGAATACTTGCACATAGCAACACAACTAATTAAGAGTTTTTTAATAAATGTTTTTTTCTGTGAAAAAAAAGCAACTTTAAAGCTAATGCATATATTTGCTTTGTGTGCATAAAAACCATTATGGTACTGGGATTTTCTTTAATTTGAACTTTTTTAAAGAATATTTGCATTGCACTGTGAGGAAGAGAAGGAACACAACGAACTAACGGCCTCAAGAGGCTGCGATGCTTAGAACACTTGAAAATAAATGTGCAGTTTGGACAAAAAGGGCCTTGCTAATATTAGATTCTTATCAKTAGTGGCTAAGAACCCAAACTACAGCAGATTATTATTATTATTATTATTATTATTGRGTTTAACCTCTGCAGTGCTTGTAGCTCTCCATCACTGTTCCTGCTTTAATTATTACATGAGATAAATTATCACAACACTCACAAAGAAACCCGGCTTTTCAGCAGAAACCACTMTTCTGTCAGCTAACCACTAGTGAATGAGAATGTTGGATGAGAATTATTTAACGGTGGCAGACCGTAAATGACTCTTGTGATGAGTGTGATGCAGTGCCGTCACAGCGCAAATAAAATTCTGATTTTCAGATGTGTTGTCCGTCTTTGATTTGAGCTGCGTCTTTGTTCAGCTTTTTGCACAAGTTGCCAATGATTTCGACGTCAGATTGTGTCTCGCTTCATAGATTCTGGCTCCTTTTCTGTCAGCTCCTAACATCCTCATGAAAGCTTCAGCCGTGCATCAAACACATTTATTAATGTAGAAAGAAATTAGCTGGTTGGTTTATTAATGGCTTTTCAGACAGGAGACAAATGTCATCTGGGTTAACCTCCTTTGTAAATCATCTTAATGCAGAACTGATTGAAGTTCTCATTGGCAGACGAAGGTCAGACGTGGATGAATAATGCAAAATAATTCCTGATATTATTACTTGCAGTTTCCAGTCACTCATTTCGCATTATAAATTAGTCATGAAAGAAATATTGCATAAATCTACTGTGCAGAAAATATGTCCAACTGTATGAGTTACCAATACGGTAARGATTTGTTGACACAAAAGAGGGAATCTGGAGATTTTTTTTCTACTCGAAGCATTAAAATAAAAAGGATTTGACTGAAGCTTACCAGATAAAAGGCATAATTGCAGCTGAGTCTGCTCTTCATACCACATTTCACAGCCAATAGCAGACAGGAGCTGACAGACTGACATTTCATACTCACCTCAGCTAAAGGATGTGTCTTCGCTCTGCACCTCCAGGTCTGATGGAAAAAGACAGGGAGGGCGCCGCACCAGCAGAGCATTTCCAGCTTAAAGGTCATTGACTTCTTTCTGTCAGAAATGTTGGCGCATTCGCTTCTGAATTAGTCGGGGAGGATGGTGGCCTCATGTCATGTGGAATAATTGAAAATGCTAAAAAGATAAGAGACATGTTGGGACTTTTCAGAGAATCCTCCACTTCCTGCTTTTTGAATTTATTTTAATTTTCCATTCAGCTCTTTTTCTATTTTATTCTGAAAAAAGTTTCGCAAAACTGGTAGAATAAAAACCATCCATTAATATTGAACATAAGACTACAACACGTCAAAGAAAAAATAAAGAAATTATTTTATAAAAGATTCGATTGCTGTGATTGCTGAATGCTGCTGAAATTTACTTGAAATTTACTTGAAATTTACGAAAAAAGAAGCAGAAAATTAGCTAAGAGCTAAAAGAAGAAAAATACTAGCTAAAGACCAAACTAAAAAAAAAATGCAAACTAAAATAGCAATACGCTAATTAAAAGCTAATAAAATATAAAGGTTAATTATATGCAAAAAAAAAAAGAACCAGAGCTGTAGCTAGAAGCTTAAAGTAGCTAAAGGAAAGCTAAAACACCAAAATATTCAAAGATAAAATTAGCAAAAGGCTAGTTTAATGCAGCACAATGCTAGCTAAAAAATGCTAAACATTCTCAGATAAAAATAGCAAAAGGCTAGCTGAATGTAACTAAAATGTAGCTAAAAAAACACCAACAGGCTTTCTCAAAGATAAATATAGTAAAGGTCTAGTAGAATGTAGCAACAAAACTAGCCTAAAACAGCAACAGGTTTTCTCAAAGAAATAAGTAGCAAAGGTTGAATTAGCTGAAGGTTTTCTCAAAGTAGCTAAAGTCTGAAGTAGCTAAAGGCGAGCTAAAAATGGCAGAAGTCTGTCTTAAAGATAAGTGTAGCAAAAAGCTAGTTAAAAGTATAGGGATAGTTAAAAACAAAAAGTATTAAAGGATAATTAAAAGTCCTATCCTTCACACCGTGACTGCTTGATATGGGCACCAGTGACCCCTGTGACCCTGAAAGGAAGAAGTGAGTATAGAGGATGGATGGATGAATGGATGGATGAATGGATGGATGTATGGAGGGATGGATGGATGGATGGATAAAAGCTAAATGTAGAAAAATACCATAAGAAAAGAAAAACTGAGTCAAATTGCTGAAACAGATTCTAAAGACAAGACTGTTTGACCAGAAGAGATTTAACTGTACTTCTATGGGAAAAAAATATTTGTAAAAAGTACAAAAGTTACAAARCTACAAGCTGTAGCACTTACCTCCTGAATGTCCTGAATGTCTTTATGTATGAATGAGTAAAAACAATATGAAGAAGTTGTGAAAATCCCTTTTATAATGTGCTGRTGCTTTAAACATGTGTAAATGAAATGATGATGATGATTTGGGTCTGTGAAATCTGTGGAAAAACTGTCCTGCGGTGTCTGCCGGGTGAAAAGGAAGCAGCTGATGTYGTGCTGGGAGATTGCTAAAATGGATTCTGAGATGAGACAATTCAAACTGGTTCTGACTAAAGACAAACACAATTAAATGTATAAATACCCACGTGGAAGATGCAAATTGTGCTGAGGTTGAATCAGTTTTTTTACTCCACTAACGAAGTACAAACAGCTATAAGAAAACTGAAGGATTTTTAAAATATTTTAAATCAAGCTTGTTATAAAAACACTAGCACATCAGTGCAGCTTTCTTCTGTTACACTTACCGTAAGGATCACAAGCAGGTTGCATTGTTTTAAATATATATTTAAAAAAACTTGCAATTATTTGGTTTGATATTAAAGGAATAATACGCAGACTTTGCATAACTACCTAGACTTGGTGTCTCATGAGAAATTTATCTTCTAACAAAGAAAAAAGTAAAAATTWAATCATGATGCCTCGAACTGTTTCCCTAAAGTTGCTTGTGTTCAGAAAATTGTTAATGCAACCAATTAAAATACRTAAGGATTCATAAAAATAAAATCAAAAATAAAAATAAATTGCAAACATCTTCAACRACTCTGGTGATCAGAGGCGGTAGCCCACAGTCTGTCACAGAAACAGCTRTACTTTAGTCAGTTTTACAGACTGAGCTAAAATTAGGCATGACAACGGGTTTCATTTTTAAATCTGAACATCATAATCTAAAAGTCCTTTCAGCATAATTAAGTAACAGAGCACCGTCTTGTAAGAACTGAATAAAACTCATGGAATTATGAAGAATTTAAGAATGACTTCAAGTAAAAATAAACAGAATACAAGGCTACAAATATCACTGTTCACATAAAACATTCCTGCACCAAATATTTTGACTCATAGTGACTGAAGCAGTCAAATCAAACATGGAATTGTGAGCAGTAATTGAATATGCACTTCCCTTTACTGCAGAAGTAAACAATAACAGAGCTGCAGTCCTCATTAATATACCTGTGGCTGGGAAAGTATGTCTATTTGCAGTTGAGCCAATTTTAATGGCATTCATTTGTTTTTGTAAAAGAATTAAAAACAGAGTAGGAGGAGTTACCTGTTAAAGGTGTGAGGGTTTATTTCATGTGAAGCTTTTCATTTTGCCTTCTCGTGTTGAAGTGGAAATCAGCCGGTGCGCTCAGCACCTATGGTTAGACAGGATAATTGTATAATTGCATAATTCAGTGCACCTGTGTGGAAGCACCTGCATTTGTTGCTTTTCTTCCGCTCAATCCCGTTTGCTGTTTTTTAAAACACTGACAGTTCTGGTTGCTGGAGCAGAGCATATTTCAGTTTTCTTGTTCTATTTCTGCAAACTGAGGCCGCTTTAAGAGCTACCTATAACAAATATATTAATGTGCCCGCGACGTCTAATTTTTTTATAAATACGAACACATTATTTGACTTTTTAACATCACAAACTGTGAGCAAAATTTCACATCGCTGAGATGAACAGCTGTTGAGATATTCACATGTGAAGTAACAGGAAGYGATGTCAAAGGGGAATGTCTGCATGTGAACAGAGCTTTGCTACAATGTCGACAACACAGACCGTAGAGAAGAATCTGATGTTTCTTTAGATCAGTGGTTCTTAACCTGGGTTCGATCGAACCCCAGGGGTTCGATGAGCCGGTCTCAGGGGTTCGGCAGAGCCTCTGCCATGGAGGTAAAGACACACTTGTGTAAAGTCATGATGACACGCCCC